TCTACTGATATATTTATAATGTATGAAAAAATTTTAATTTTTTAAAAAGTAATATGAGTAGTAGAACATTTAGTCCTCCTAAAATCGCTACTTTTCTAGTCATTTACAAAAACCCGACATTTTAATTGATTTTCCAACATTTTATATGTATGGTATCATCTCCTAATTTAATTTAATCATAAAAATAAAAAAGTATTTTATTTTTCATATTATAAGCAAATAAATTTAATTTTAAAACCATATGAGAATTATAAGTTGTATTTTTAAGGTGTCAATATTTTTAGTTGTACATTTCATTATTTCATATTATAACTTAAAATTCACATTTTGTTTACATTATTTTTAATATAAAAATATACGTGAAACGGTAAATTACTATTTGAATTCGATATACAATATACCAATTTTACATTTTAATATCTTGATGTCTTTCTTAGTCTTAATAAATCAGTTGATCAATATAACTCGTACTACAATTAGAAAAGGTTTTATACTAAATTCGTTTTAGTACAAATGAATCTATTTGACAATATTATATTAAATGTTTTTACATAAATAATATAATTAAAAGTACTGAGTAAAAATATATTTTTTATTTTTATTTTATTTTTATAAAAAAAATAGTTATTTATTTATTCACTCGTGTCTACTCTGGCTTTGTTATCAATTAATTTGAAAAAAAAATTGACAAGCAATTTTCTTGAAAAAATTTGAAAAAAAAATTTACAAGCCATTTTCTTGAAACAAATTTGAGAAAAAAACTTCTGGACTCTCAGGAAGATATGCTGATTTAAGATCCGTCATCAACTAAAAGACAAATAAATGATATGATTTCGTAGCCTAGTTAAAGCCTAGTGTGGTGTAGAGATAAGTCCCCCAGCCATTATAGAGTAAAAGTGCGTAATAGCACTAACTCAAGAAGAAGAAGAAGACGACGAGAAAAAAATTGACAAGCGATTTTCTTGACTCCCTCTAATTCTACTGAAAATCGATACTAAATTACTTAAACTTTAGATTTCGCAAAAATTGCTTGACAATGATTGGTCCGGGTCAAGTTAAATCGAAAACAAAAGACCACTGTTGAGAACTTGGCAGTACTCAAAGCAGCGTTGTATGGTCAACCAAATTTCAATAAATTAACAAAAATTTGTTATTGTCTTTTCAATTCTATTCGAACCTTCGAAATTTTAGTTTCGTTTCCTTATACGATGCGTCGTTTTTGACAAAAAAAAATTAACATTAAAACATTTGACTTTGAAGCTTATAGACCTGTCAAATCCACGTTCACACAGACGAATCAGTCTATGAGTTGACTATGGTTTAATTCCATAGCTGCATTGCTCATTATAATCATAATTACAACAATAATATTATTTATAAATATTATTTGCCAAAGCTCACTCAAATCCATTAAAACAAAAATTGTACCCATATTAACAGCAGATCTATATTAATAAAAGCCCAAAAATATATTTCAAAATAAGTGCTTTGCAGCATGTGTTTTATATGCGTCGAATAACTTTTATATTATTCATCATAACAGCATAAAAACAGCAAAAGCTGTACTAACCAAAATGTCCAATAGACGCCAATAAAAATACTTCAAATCCTTGCTGCAGTCCAAATCCTTAGTACTCGGCACTGCTTATGTATATTCTCACTTTATTCGGAGCCATAAAAGAAATGTTAAAAACGCGTTTATGGACGCCATAAAAACCAATAAAAATATTGTGTATCAAAGTAATTTGCTACCACACAAATGACTGGGAAAGTCTTCATCCTTAGCACCACACAGTAGAGCGACGAATACCGATACCGCTCGCTCTAACCCAAAGCTACCGAAACGCTGCTGAAGCAGTCACTCATTTAGGCGAGCAATTCTAGAACGAAAATCGAATCAAATCTGTGAACGAACTAATAAAATGAAATGAAAATAAAAGCGTGAAACTTTATTGAAAACAAAATGTTGGCAAATTTCGGCAATATGTTGCCAGCAATTTTCGTAACATCAATGCCATCCCTCACACACGCCATCCGTAAGCACTGAAAGGACTCCAGGCAAAGCCACACTCGTATTTAACGCATTTTAAGTATGCCCGACTAACAAAAAAATAAAATCCTTTTTGGACTATTAAGACGGAATTGGCATAAAAACGGCATAAAATAGTAAAAGCAAAAGTAAGAGAAAAATGAAATCGAATATGAAAAATACATGCCGGTGAGTAAATAACCTAAATGGGACCCAGAGTATTCTCCCTTAACGGAATCGCGAAGAATCTATGGCAGTTTTCGACGTAAAGCGATGTGCGCTGTGTATGTGTGTGCACTTGATTATGATATATTCGCAGTGAAGGAGCTGTCTGTGAGTAGGTCTTGGATTAACAAACAATGGGTTGGAGTTGGAATAAAGAAAAAAAAGCACTGCGTCAGCTTGTTGCCCATTTTACTACAGCAGCTGCAATTTTCAAACTGAAACGTATTTCTTATGATTTCATCGAATTTCTTATGAATTACAAAAGCAAAAAAGAATATATGGGATTGAAATCTATGTGCTACGTTCTGGCACTTGCTGGCAGAAATATTTATTCTCCACATTCATGAAATATTTCTGCTTTTACCCATACCCACTTATTAATAGGCAGCAGTTATAAACAATAACTTCCATGCGTTCATAGAAATACGTGACGTCACTGAATTGAGTTGTCTTAGTAGCAACAATCAACCACCAAGCATCCCTCCTACTCCAAACATAACTCCCAGTGAAGTATTAAACGCAAATCCTTAAATGTCGTTTATTGAAAAACTGTTATTGTTTTTGTTGTTGCGAGTGGTGTGTGCACCTTGTGTTGGAAGTTGAGGACTTCGATGAGAATCGCAATGGAGTTTGTAAACAGAAAATTATAATTTGGGGTAAATTATTATTGGCAATCAAAAACGCCATGGAACTTGACTAACAAATGGCACGATAAGCAATTCTTGTTGTTGTTTCAATTTCTAACACCACTCCATTTTCTGAGATTTTGGGGTAGCAATTGAAATTCCAGAGTACAATAAAGTTTTCAGATTATGAATGTTAAAATGTCGAATTAAATGGAATTCAATATGAGAATAATTATTTAATTATTGTTATAATCGATGTGCGGTAAAATATTATTGCGATTATATGAGGTGTGGGTAAGGCAGAGGGTATTTTAAGAAATTTTGCTATAATATGTGAATAGTTAAGTACAGAAGGTGAAGTTATCAACAAATATATTATATGACAAATGTATTACTTGAATGGATTTATTTAATTGCTTTCAGTAAGTGTGAGAGAATTTGGTTACCTAATTTCATAGACATGGGTAATATTCTTTTAAAATATTACTATATTATAATATCAAGACTTTTCCGTGTACCGATATATGGAAATATTGGGTTAGTAACTCTTTTTATCGTCTAACTCAGACTACACCAGCAAAAACCAAATCTATTTTAAAATTTTAAGCAGAAATTCGATACCTAAATCCTATTTATTAGATTCCTGTTTCGATGTCTCCAATATTAATCTATTCTTAATCTGTTTATATTGTCATATCAACACTAATTTTGTCTAGTTTGTAATATTAACTTAAAATTAATATTTTTTCCTATAATTAACATATTCTGCTAATAGTATAAGATGTCTACTATCTGTACCTTTTCATCCATTAGATATACCATGTTACTGTGCTTATATTATACAATACTATAAGGACGAAATAAGTATTAATGCTTTTAATAGAAAACGATAGAGTGCTGTGACTTCAAGAATTTTTTTTTTGGGTGGGAGATTTTAGTTTGACATTACTGAGATTTGACAACAGATTTGATAATATTCAGTCTTCTGAGTTAGTTTAGAAATTGAACTTGTACCATATTTCTTACTATAATAACACACTAATCGCATGTACTGCTATTATTTTGTATTATAAACAGTTATTCCATTTTATTCAAATACATAAATAATATGTATTAAAGTGTAGAAACATAGAATTGGCCATTTTTAAGTAGATTATAGTCTCATAATATATATCCAACATATTAGTACTGTTTTATATATCTTTACAATTACAACTACGACTGGTAGCGTCAGTCTCAATACTAAGGGTCCCAACAGACTCTTACCAAAGCAATATAGAATTACTGCGGGATAGAAATGTACATAATCTTTATGATTGGCCAGCTTTAGAGAATTTGTAGTTTTCTCTTAACTCAGACTCAAGCTGAGCAATCATACGGAATATATCAACTTGATTCTAGTATGTGCCTACATAATTTCGAATAATTTCTCAATGAAAGAAAAATGTAAATTGTGGTGTGAAGAAAGAAATCATTTTCAATCAATGTAATTTACCGGCTGATTGAATTGAAGTGAACTATAGAAAGTAAAACTATAGAAAAATTCGTGCGATTAATAAATAATCGCACGAATTAGTGCACCAATTCTTCTAATTTAGTTCCATGTGCCTTCTGTATTTTCCCACGTCTCCAAAATGTCTTCTAATTTTTTCAAATCTTTCATCGTATGAGAATGTAATGTAATAGCCATATAGTCATATAGCCATATAGTCATACTTTACAAGCCTTCGGAAAAATCAAATATCGTTCTGGGAATAAATTTGATGAATTTGAGAAAGATTATACAGAATGTGAAATCATTCTATCTCCTAAACATTCATTTACCCATTATTTTTAATATTAGTAATCACAGGGGTAACTTTTAATGACTATACTAAAATGTAAAAACAAAATATAAATAATTAGTTATCTTGAAATACACTACTCAATCCGTTATCAAATAACTTTTAAAATATTTTAAAATTACTATTAATATTTTCAAAAATAATATTCCATTCTATTACATACATTCTTAATTTTGCAATAATCATATAATCTTAATAAAAATAATATACCAAAATAAAGAAAACGTTTAAATTTATTTACAAAATATTATTTATAATATTTTATTTACGTCATTTTCGATTTAAAATATTTACAATTTCATTTTATTTATTTCTTTTAGTTTAATTTTTACATGATCCAACTGAGATACACTTTGAATGCCAGATGTACAGTTTGAAATTTCAAAGAATACAGTTTAAGAGTCATTAATTAAATACTAACAGTTTGAAAGCTATAATTCTTCATATAATTTACCAAAGTTTAAAACCAAAATACAAAATAGTAAAAATTTCGTTCAAAATAGCGAAATTAACATTAAACGAACAAGCTTAAAATATAAATAAATAAAAATAACATATAATAGTATCATTAAAATAAATTACAAAATTTTATAGTGTAACATTGTGCGGTGGTGCTACTAGCAAAATGGGTTGTAAATTTAATGATTTCCTCGATCCCGCTAAACTAACTGCATCTGTTATATACGCGTTATTGATTTCACCTGTGGAATAGACTAATAAAAATAAAAAATATTGTTCTGAAGTATAATGTTAAAAACACAAATATTTACCTTTATACAATGAACTTTGATATAATGGCTCTGGCTGCAGGCGTACGTGTCTGGTGGCCAATATGAAGGCAAGTGTAGCTAGAACAACTCCATCAACACAACCAATTATTGCTAACGGGTATGCCCAGCGAATGCCACATAAACCCAATTCAAACCGATTTGCATCTGGACCACAAATTTTGCGAAAATCATCTGAATTCCAACCGAAGGGGAAAGCAGCACAAGCGACAATCATACATATTGCTGTAAAAAATTAAAGAAAAATATGTTTAGATAAAGAAAATACTGACATTTGTTTTGGAATTAATGTTAGAAAAAATATTTAAAAAAAGGTTATAATAATACTGTTATTGTTTGTATTTCGCTGTTGTAATACTGTTTGCCATCTTGTAATCCATTTAGGGAATGGTGAACGCCACTTAGTTGTCGAAATTGATGAGTAATTCTGGGACGTAGACCTAATCGTTATTGGAACCGGTCTATTGATTCGTCGTAACTAACTATGTGTCGCTCACAACTTAAGTCCGAGAGCAAATCAAGCTCTTGTAGTTTTGTGTGAGGGATTGTCCAGATTAAAATTCCAACAAGAATAACAAGAAGTACATACACAGAAGAGTGGTTCCAGACACATACATAAGTGTCTGGAACATATGATCAGTATAGGACTAGTATTTATACTAGTTGCAATAAGCATTTTTAAACTAGTTCATTTCACCTTTGCGTCAACACTAGACTCATATACTGAACGACGTAACCAATTTGAACAAGATGCATTAACCCAATTATTTAAACTTGAGAATTAGAAGAAAAACGCGGTCCTCTCCGAATTTCCTAAAGGATTTGAACTATGTTAAATGCGATAGTTACACTAAAAGTGTTATAAATTGGATATGGATAAATATCATCTTTCTATTGTTTTAGCGACAGTTTCTGTTTCGCAAAACTACAATATTTTGTTAGGAAAACTAGAAAAAAAACGATCTGGATTGGATGTGTTCATTAAGAATTGCTGCTATAATTATCAATATATTAAAACGGAATGTCATCACGGATGACATAAGAACTAACTCCAGCCCCATATTATGACAATGTGAAGAAATTGCTCCCTTTTAGTAACAGAGTTGTGCAAATATAACCTAAATTTTACATAACGACTACGCTAAGGATCAGCACTGGTAACATAAGATATAGTCAATGCAAAACGTGGGCATATATTGGAGACCAACACTACATTCGTGATTGGACTAGTATTTACTACTCTGATTTTTTTAGGGTAAAAATAAATGTAGTCACTAACATTAAAAAATATTAACAACATCTGTCACAGATCCAATGTATTTAAGATATTAAGATTGATATAAAAATTTTAAGATGGATCGCATTATAGAGAAGCAATTGACTTAAAACAAGATTGAAGTTTACTATACCATGTAAATTTTCACAGTAGGCAAATATGAGAAATATTGAAAGTATATTTATAATGCTCAAAAGCGAACTCAAGAGATATACAAGAAACTGCAAAAAATCATAGTGTATTGGAAGAGTATAGTAACAGCAATTACTTTCAAATTAATAATTTAATAGAAAAACTAAAACTATTAGCTCTTAAATATCAGCGCTCTTCATATATTTTATAGGGAATTATAAAAATTGCTAGAATCACAAAAAATAGGTTATGATTGTTGTCGTGTTGTTGTGATCAAAGAAACTTGCTGATACTGTCCAAGTAGGGAGAGGTGGGCTGTATTGGATGTCTGTAATGTCAAGTGATTTCAGAATGTATTTCCGGACGCTCGTATCATTATGGTAACTGTAACAGAGCTACTTTAACAGTCAATACCCTGTTAATTTCAAGTTAGCTTATTATTAGTTTTTTGTATTCTCACTGTGTCATCGCAACAGAATCTACAATATATCTATAATGTGGTCTCATTAACATAATATCTTATTATTATTATATCTTAATATGTGTTGCCATACTTTAGGTGAGAGGGTTAACAGGTACTTAATCCTCTTAAACTCAGACAGTGGCTCCGAGACATAAACCTGACTATTCCCAGAAACTCTACGTTTAACTTCATTAAATTTTACAATTAAATTTTGATTCAGCAATTTGATATAATAAAATTGTATTAATTTTTATTTTTATATTTAAACAGAAATATTTTGCAAAACTCAATTCTTTAATAATTTTTTTTATTTTTATATAAATAAAAAATATGCTTATGAAAGAGTTTGTTAAGCTTATTGCAATAGACTCAAGCTAAAAAATTGTTTAATTCGTTGATAATAAGCATAATCAAAACCGCTGACCAATTTATTAAACCTCTCCGCAACACACGAAATCGGCACAACTGCAATTCGAGTACGTGTTGTAAGTGCATTTTTTTTCTGTGCTAATACTTTGACGAAACTAACAAAACATTTTTTATAAATTTCGAAACTTCCGTATGTGAAGCGAATTTATATAAAAAAATATTTGCTTTCAAGCCATAACTTTATATATGATAAAAATAGTTATTATATAAAATAGGAAGAAAAAAAATTTCAGCATACACGAGGCATCAATATCTCGGTACTCTTATGCAGACAGTTAAGTTACACGTGATATTTTTACGATACACTATTATTATACATATTTCGGAATATTTATTTTCATTCTCATAATATTTACATACTTAAATATTTTGCAATATTTTTTCTGAATTAAGTCATATACGAATAAACAAATATATATGACAATAAATATTTAAACGTTTAAGTCTTTTAATGTCTATTATTTTGCATAAGCCCCATATCATATTCCTATAGTTTACTGATTTCATCCCTGATTTCATAAATGATATCATAGATTCTCAAAACTCAGACATGTCATTCAAGTAGCTTACAAAAAAGATAATATGAATTTATCTATTAATAGACAAACGGGCAGTCAGATAGATATAAAGTTAGATATATCCAAGGATAAATATACACAAGTACAGAAAAGCAAATAAACTGAAACTTTGGCTAATAAAAATAATAATGATAAGCAAATTATTTTTGATCGAAGACTATTAGGAGAGATAGGTTCAATTAACAAATCGTAAGCGCTTTCGGTTAACAAATCGTAAGGTAAAAAACAAACCCATATCATCGTGCAAATACGAGTATGTGGAGAATCAATATAAAACTAAAACTAACGTTAGTCTAGAATTGCAATGAAAAAATATTAACGTCCAGTAAGCGGATTATAAAACACTCAATCCAAATTAATTCAAGCGTGGTATCTGGATATAATATGAAAAATTGGGAACAGCAATGTGCCATATATCCGCACATCCATTTTCACGATAAAAGATAACGATAAACAGATAGAATGACTAACAGGAAGATAGATAATCAACCATTGTTAAAGCGATTCGTTTTGTTATACTCACTAGAATGAAATATAGTGTTTATGGTCTCTAAAGTGTCTTTCATCTTATTATCAACTTTTTAAATCTAATATATCCCTTTGATTTAAGTGTATGTTTGAAATTTAGTATCATCTTTCCTGGTTTGACAGATGGTTGAATTTTGGCATTACAGAGCAACACGCTGGCGTCAGCTTATCGAATTTTAAAGACACGTTTTTGAGAAAAAAAAACAAAATTGGCTTTCAAGTTTTTTTCCACTTCCACTGATTTAGCTCGTTTGCGCGTGATTTTTATTAGTACACAGAAGCATAACATAACAGTACAGTAATTAGGTGTTTCGATGCTAATATGGGTCGCTCTTTCGTCCTGATCCATTGTGTTGGGCCCATTAACCCAGGCCAGTTTCTATAAAGTGCTACCTACCCACTTATTTAATCCTCCATTCTAAACAACATCCCAGACTCATTTCTGTAAGATCATACCCACCCACTTATTTCATTACGCATTCTGAACAACATTCCTCTTTCCACTCTACCTTCACCCTACTAAATACAAACCCATACATTTGTATTTGTAATTCCTTTCATACATCCTGCTGTATATAGATCTCCACGGGCTACAACAACTACACTACATTAGTGAACACTCTATAAAGCAAGTACAACATTAACAAAATACAGTAACAATAAAATACAATAACAACTATAACTATAATATATAATAGGTAATACCTATATAACAGAAAGTTAAACAAGAGAATAATTTTTTTTATGTTATAATAAAACTACACAATTAATTAAAAAAAAATTAAAAACTTTAAAAATAATTAACTTTATACCTGATATAATCTGCATCCAACCGCAAATGTGAAATACTTTAGTTGACTTCATGAAAATCAAAAAAATTAAGAAACAGATAGTGAGCAAGGCCAGGGCCACAGCGGCCGCCATAAATAATGTAGCCAACTGCAAATGAATATAATTTTATTTAAATAAATTCAGAGTAAAAGAAAAAAACAATTAAAAACTTACTTGAAATGAAAACGTTGGCACTGAAAGTATATTTTCCCATCGTCTCTTACAATTATCGAATATTTCATCTTTCTGACACACCTGCCAAAGGCCTAAACGCCCTGCGCTCTCATTATCTGGATCACCAACCCATTCTGAAATGGATATCGATTATTACATATATTATTATATGGATTATTGAAGAAAACATTAATAATAAATAATTGTATTAATTAATTTAGGTTTACCTGGCGTCACAAACGCTACGATGCTTATAATCGCATAGCAAATTGTAAAAATGGTCCAGAGAACGGCAATTGCCTTTGAATTCCTAATGTATTTTGTGGCGTATAAGTGAGTCGTATCGACATATTCGATTTTTGTACCCATTTTCACTTAGTGTAATGTGCTAAAATGAAAAAAAAAAAATTATATATATCTATAAGAAAAAAACAATATAAATTAATTTTGTATATAGCATTAAATTAAGTCAAAATTATTATTAAAGCGTACAATACAGGCGGAGGTTGACTTATTTAACCACAATACAGTAATAATACTTAACGTTTCTCATAAGAGCAACGAAACCATCGATATTAAATGTTTAAAAAAAGTATCTTTGAAATACATTGTATAAAAGTTGTTGAAATTTTAAGCCGATTAGAGCCTTTCGTTGAACGACCTCAAAACTCTTTACAACTAATTTTGTGTTTATTACGTTTTTGGGCCATAAATAAATTGAGCTAAGATACGACACACTGCAAAAATTTGAACTCAGCTTAGGCAAATCTTGCAACTCTTTTTACACTTTCAACAGGTTAAAGATATTTTAAGCTTTTTTTGCAAGTCTCTATTTAATGACAAATTCAAGAATTATAATAAAATCCGATTAACCGACCGTGAAATTTTTGCAGTGTAAAGTTAATTAAGAGGCATCAAATATCTAGCTATTAGTGACGATCATGATATCATTTGATCATAAAACTTTTAATTAGCATTGCTTTACCACTTTTGTTGTTAAGAATGGTTAATTAGTTGTTTTTTAATTAAAAATATATTAGATAATTTATTTAAAATATCTTTGCGAATACTGCTTTCTATGAAATTAGTTTGTAAAAACATTGTGCGAAACGAGACAAGTCTAGTAGATAGATGGGTGACTGTCTAACTTCCTAAGTACAGTTGCTATTAAAGAAAAAGTGCAATCTTCACATATAATTAATTACTTTCAAACTTAACTCAGTTGACGTTAAAGGAAAAAAATAAAATCGTTAATAGTTTACAATAGACATTTACTAAGAGTACATTTACTAAAAGTTACTAAGTAGTAGGCACCCCCCGTTACATAAGGAAAATTACATAATGAATATTAGGAAATTAAAAAACCCTCGTCATTATTAACTTAAGTAATTAAGTCAAACAATAAAAATGGCTTCAAGTTTGAATAAAGTGAATTCAAATGAAATTTTTTATGAACTGATTAAAAAAAAAAATTATTAAGAAAATTATTGCTCCTTTATTACTACTCTATAAAATCCTTAAGACATAAAATTGATAAATAAATTAGCTTTTCAGAGAACTTAATATAGAGTCTTTGTTTTCATACATAAACACACACGCATACACATATACGTTAAAAAACAATAGCTCCACCATATATATACATATTATTGCTACTCTCTTGGAGAAATGGACTCATGGACAATCTATTCTGCCCCCTTCAGGGATTCAAATTATTTCACCAAGTTCGATTGCCACAATTAATCAACTTTACTGAGCCCTATTTCTTCATCCGATATAAGACATCGTTTTAGGTATTTTTTCTAACTACCTTTTCAACGAATAATAATAAAAATTATTAAAAAAAATTTAATATAATAATTATTATTATTATATTATAATTATAATAATATAATAATTATTATTATTATTAAAGTTATTATGTTAGTGGATCTAACACTGCAACCTAGAGTTCTTTAATGTTTCATTATGAATCCAAAGTATTCCTGTTAGTTCAACTTCCTCTTTACATTGTACTTTTGAACCTTTATAAGAGACTTTTCTGTCTTCTTTCGATATGAGCTCGGATGAGGAAATACCTTTATCCACCCAGATAATTTTTTTTAGTGCTATTTATTTATTAGAGCCGAGCAAACTCCCAACAAATGTATTAAAATCTTATGCTCTTCTCTACAAAATCTAAAAGTTTTATTAGAGTAAGTTCCCAGTTTTGTAAGGTCAGAAATTTCTGTAACGATTCTCAAATAATTTTTACTTAGTTGCATACCATTTCTAAGCGGTCTTGAGTTATAAGACCCTATAAGAGCTATGCCTTGTGATAGCTGTGATAGTTTATCCCAGTATAGCTTTCTTTATTTCCTGCCACAGAATAGTTACACGCCTACAAGCCAGAACGCTGCCCTTCTTCTGGCAAGTTTGTTTGCAATTTCGTTGCCGAAAATTCGAGCGAAATCCACTCTCAGACTTTCTGTTACTCATCTCAAACTTTAAATCATCTTACACTTTTCCATATACATACTACTGTCATGAACTACTTTTTCAATGTTTAAAATATTTATTTTCAAGTTGGTTTGAGAGCCGATTTAATTGAAGACCACAGGAAACTAGTATTAGCTGGCTAAGGCCATGGACGAATCTGATAGATCCGTAGCAACACCAGATTAGAGTCGTTAGTAGCATTTAGTGACAGTACACATAAAAAAACTATGCACAAGAAGAAAGCAACAAACTTGCAGCAACAACTATGTTGTCTTGTGTGCTATAGGAGTTTGTTTGAACAGTGCGAAATAATCATCTAGCTATTACTGCTAAAAATTTGAATTTTGTATGATAATTATTGATTTGCAACATAATATATATGGTTACAGATATACATCAACATGACGGTGAGTCCACTAAGAAATGAGTATTTTTTGATTACTTTAGCTTAATACTTAAAATATAATTTATAATTACAACAGTAAATTATAAAGAATGTTAAAGTAATAACTGCAGAAAATTTTTATTATGCAAATATTCTACAAAAACTACTACAAAATAGTATTCAAAAATTGAAGGATCTTTGGATTAAATTTCAATATAATTTAAGGGAACCTACACTGAAATATGAAATATTTTTTGCAAATAAAAATTCGTTTCGAGAATTTATTCAACAAATTAACTTCAAACAAAGATTTAAATGGTTTTTATTAAGTCTATTAAATTAATACGATCAAAAGCTTAATTTTATCAATAAGATTATTAAAAGCAGTAGTCTATTTCTGTCTACCTCTAAATAGAATGCAATGCAGTTGTCTTAACCTAACTTTAGATGTAATGACATAAAGTAGATAATGACCAAATCAGCACTTTAAAAGTGTCCTTATTAAAATTTGAGTTGTTAAATATAATTTTATATAGAGATATATATGATATTTTTTGAATTTAATTTATTATTATTATAGTTTCTAAGTCTTTTACTCAACAATTTCAAAGATTGTTTGCAAGTTTTAACTTTAATTATCCGTTAATGTTCTTATGAGATACATTCTCTACATAACTGTATAAAAATAAACACTATGAGTCATAAATAAGTAATAAAATACACACTTGATTCAAATTTATATTCATTTTTATTAGCTGAATAATTTCGATACAAAATTAATGACATTTTTTTTATTAATTATTAAAATTGATAAATTATCTTTTGCGGTGGTGAAACAACAATGCCAGCCAGCATCACCGCAGATACTAGTTTAATAAAAAGAGAAAAAAAGCATATTTTATAAATCTACACAGTTAAAAATGTGATATTTTACTATATCTTTAGATAAATATTAAGCAAAGCACAGCCAAACAAAATAACTGTTTTGTTTGTTGTTGAAGCAGTTTTCCTTCGAATCACTTGTGAAACGAATGCTTAAAAATTGTATCTCAAACTTTGACATTCACGTTTTTAGCAAACAAGCGATTCAACGACGAATGTAGTGAACAATAATTTTACAATAAAAAATTCATAAAAAATTCATAAAAAACTATAATAAAAATCAAATTTGAAAATAAAAGCAATATTTGATATATATTTGAAATCTAGTGGACTTTAATTTATTATTGGCAAGACGCAGACTTTGCGCTTTTGTTTGTAAAATTATTTTTATTTTATTTTTTCTCATAATTAAATTAAAAAATACGTAAAGGCGGCATTCACTGCAAATGAGCGTTAAAATGCACGTATTAAATAATTAAAATATTTTGAGATTTGTAATTTTTTATTGTTTTTGTTTGTTACAAAATGAAAGTCATAGTGAAACTTATGACACACTTGAGAAAAAATGTTTGAATTAAAAGAAAAAAAATTAATTTTAAGTTGCATCTAAAAATAGTTAACAAATTATGCAAAATCGGCGAAATACCGCAGATTCCACTTTTAATAACTAAAAGATTAATGTATGAAAATAAAGATTAAATTAAGAAAAGTCTGTAAACAAACTCAAACACCATTCACTCAAATTGTTGAGAATAACATATTCCATCATATTAATGAGTGGCTGGAAAGAGCAGCTCA